AAGCAAGGAGTTGTTCCAAAATTTCAAATCTGGAAATTTTGGAAAGGTGTATCTTGCTGATAACAAGGCCTTGGTGATTGAAGGGAAAGGGGATGTCTCCATAAAAACACCAGCACGAAATCAATGGACGTTGAAAGATGTTGATATATTCCTGGTTTCAAGAAGAATCTGATCTCTATTGGTCAGTTGGATAACACGGGCTATGCAGCAGAGTTTGGGAAAGGTTCTTGGAAGATTGTGAAAGGTGCTATGGTTGTAGCACGAGGCACAAATTTTGGAACTTTGTACACCACTACAGGGTGTATTAACATGGCTGCTGATGCTGATGGTGTTTCTAGTTCAAGTCTATGGCATGATAGACTTGGACACATGAGTGCTAAAGGAATGAAGATGTTGGCTGCAAAAGAAGCATTGGAGGGCTTGGAGTCTGTTCATATGGGTCTTTGTGAGAGCTGTGTTATGGGCAAACAGAAACGAGTCAGCGTCACGAAGACGCCAAGAGAGCCGAAGAAAGTACGATTGGAGATGGTCCATACAGATGTTTGGGGACCATCTCTAGTCTCATCACTTGGAAGATCAAGATTCTATGTCACCTTCATTGATGATTTCAGCAAGAAGGTATGGGTTTACTTCTTGAAACATAAGTCAGATGTGTTTGCGACTTTCAAGAAGTGGAAAGCTGAGGTGGAGAATCAGACTAGATTGAAAATCAAGTGCTTGAGGTCTAATAATGGAGGAGAGTATGACAAGTCAGAATTCAAGGCATTCTGTGCAGCTGAGGGAATCAGATTGATGAGAACAATTCCTGATAAGGCAAGGCAGAATGGAGTTGCTGAGAGGATGAACAGAACAATGAATGAGCGTGCAAGAAGTATGAGGATACACTGTGGGCTGCCCAAAACATTTTGGGCTGATGCTGTGAACACAGCTGCATACTTGATCAACACGGGACCATCAGTTCCTTTGTGGTTCAAGATTCCAGAGGAGGTTCGGACCGGAAAAGAACTCAAGTACTTACACTTGAGGACTTCTGGTTGCACGGCATATGTTGATGTTGATCCCGAGAAGAGAGATAAGCTTGATGTCAAGGCTGTGAAGTGTAACTTCATAGGCTATGGTTCTGATTTGTTTGGTTACATGTTTTGGGATGACAAGAACAGAAAGATCTTGAGACATTGTGACGGGACATTTGATGAGTCTGTCCTGTACAAGGACAGAGAGCACAAGGTTTCAGAGACTATGAAGCAAGTGGGAGTTGAGGTTGAGTTGAGAAAAGTACCCCTATAAATGTTGAAGCAGAAACTCAACCAACTCCAGACACTGTTGATGAAGAACCTGAGATGTAGCAAGTGACACCTAAGCAGGTGTTGAGGAGATCATCTAGGACTATTGATATATATCCGGGAGCATGCCCGAAGACTCTCCGTAGCCCGCCAAGGGAAAGACAGATTAGGGGAATAAAGCCCAAGTGTGGTGACATTAATTGGGTTGAAACTTCTCCATTTTCCTGTCTTAGAACCCAACCCAGCACCATGGTTGTCCTACACCCACCCTAGGCTGAGCCCACACTCTCCATACCTTCCCTAAACATCCAAAATATTTCCTTTTCAAAATAAAGTTTTCCTACTCCTATTTTAGGCCCTGGCCGAAAATAAGAGTGTGTAAACCACAACCTTTGTTTGTTGTTATTTTCTTTCTTTTAAACCTTTTAATAAACAAATAAAACCTTCTATCCTTTTCTATAAATCCCAGGCCAAATATC